CTTCCAACCCTGCATCAACTTACACACCCAATGAGGGGATAAAAAACAAAACTAAAACTCAGTGAGGCTTTAGAACAAAACCACAATCATTACTGCTTTTCTATTAAGAAATACATTTACTCTGTTTGGACTTGTGATTCTTCTGTCCGAATTTTAAAAAGTCCAAGATAAAATTACAGTTTTCAATAAACCTGTATTAACTATGCCCTCTTTCTAAAAGTTTTCTCCTTTTCTACCAATACTTCTCATCTCCCAGACAGACTAAAATAATTCCATTCATTAATTCCCAATCATGATTCAGAGACTAATTTTTAATCATTTCTACAGGAAGAAAGGGAGCTCTGGTGGCTAAGTGGTAAGGAATTGTACAGCCAACCCAAAGGTATATGGTTTGAATCCACAGAAGAAAGGACAATCTCTTCTTGTGTGATTAGTGCCTCTGAAAACCAGCTGGAGGATCAGCCACAGGTTGGTTCTGACTCGATGGTACATACAACAATATAGGAGGAAGGAGGGAATGGAGTTCAAGATTATTTTTTCAAAACCCAGGTTCTTTTTTTTTTCTCAGAGCTATAATTTTCTCATTTTATTTGAGTCCAAGTTTACAAATCACATTGCATTTTCATCTCATCAGATGTTTTGTTTTAGAACATTTATGAATTACAATCTCATGAAAACCCTTTCCCTTTATCCAACTTGAGTATTACTTTTTCCTCCATTCTCCCTCCCTAATTCCTGTTAACATTTCCAAGATTGATTTAGTGTAAACCTTAACTTTTTATAGTAGTGGTCTCATATCATAATTGGCTTTTTGTGACTCAAAACCCAAATTCTAATAAGATATGGGTGTGATTAGTTTAAGAAATTGCATTGTCCTCAGTCAAGTCATTGCAAACAAGGAATCTAAGCAACTCTTAGGTTTAAGGTTCCCATATTTAGAATTTTGCTTGTCTTCTGGTTCAAAGTAAGTTCCCAGGATTGTGGCACAGCTTTTATTTGGGACATTTTCTAGAAAACATAACACGGTATTAATCCATGCAAGTTCTCTGCCAACTTTCTCTGAAAATTGCAAAATAACTCACTTGCCTCTTTTTTAAAAATCTGCCTTTTCTTTTAAAACAGAAAATGACTAATGAATGGCCACCAAGCCCATCGCTTCCAGTCCATCAGCCCAGACAAGAAGCTCCTGTTCTTTGGTGCCCTTTGACACTCATTGCACAAGCATTTATGGCACACCTACTATGTGGCAGGCCCTATTTTAGGCGCCAGTTCAGAAGGAGAGCAGTGAGTCATCAGCTATCAGATAACACCCCTCCCCAACTTCCCCCTTTCCCCATCTCCATTCTTGGGAGAAAGAAGTCTGCAGACATGGATCCTGAAAGGTGAGTGGGCTCCTGGGTTCCCAGGTTACAGAAGAACCCTTGCATCAAAACCACTACCTTTTAACTCTCAGCAATTCTGTATAAGCCCTAACATTTAGTCAGCCTAACAAGTGTCAACTAGAAAATGAACCAGATAGTTCCTCTCTTCAAATGTCTTACAGAATAGAGCTGGCGAGGGGGGGGATTAGATAAATACATCAATAACTAGACAAGAACTAGCAGTGTTATAAACTGGGAAGAGAAAGATCATTTTACATTCCAGCCTCCCTCAAACCAACAATCCCAATCTAGAGCTTGCCTGAGGCTCCTCTAGCCACCCCTCCTCACTTAACCCTTTCAGAAAAAGCAGGCCACGTGGCTTTAGAGCAGTTTCAACAGTTTCCTCCTTGGTGTTGGAATTCTTTTCTCTTAATCCAACTCAGTCATTGATTAAATTTGGGTCTGTTATCTGCCTCCAAGCATTCAAAAGAATTCTAGCCTGAAAAGAAATTTAAACATATCACAGTTCTATTAGGGGGAAAGTAGAGCTAGTAATTACTTCCTTTTTATTTCCCAAACTTTACAAGTCTTAGAAGTTGAGTAGTTTAGCCAGAACTCTGAAAATGGTCATGGATTATTTTAAAATTTGCAGTGAATCTCAAGAAAACAGGAGATAGTCTAGTTCTTTCTAATTCAACTTCTCCTCCTTATAACAGGTGATTCTCAATTGGGCATGGTGGTGTGTGATTTTTGTCTTCTAGGGGACATTTGATAAATCTGGAGACATTTTTTGGGAAGAAAAAAAACCAGAGGGCTTAGATGCTGCTAAACACTTATAATACAGTTCAGATCCCCATTTAACCTTCAAAAATATGTCAACAGTGCAGAGATTGAAAAACCCAGATTTAAGGCTTGTCATTTGCCATTATTAGAATCCTTACATTTCAGTGGCCCCAAAGACAAAGTTCTAAATTTGATGTGTGGTTAATCAAAAGTTGTTAAGGCTTCTGGGTCAGGTTTTTCTTATGGGGGCAGGGGTGCACAAAGAGAAGGTTTTTTTTTCTCCCATCTATTCACATTTGGCAAACACAAAAATATTTGGAAAGGAACAAAAAATCAGTAGTTAACAGGGTATTGGGAAACTTATGGGCCTGACTTTGGAAGAAAAAAGGAAATGTTTTAAACTCCTTTTCTCATTGCCTCCCCTCTTTCCTTCAAAAAGGGCTTCCCACTCTCCAACCCCTAGCTGATATTATCTTAGAACAATTACCACCACCAGCTCCTAAAGAGTGGAGTAAAGATTTTCTTTCCTCTCGACTTTACTTTCCCACAAACACAAAAATTCTTCCATAATTGTCTTCTACATTAAATTCCTAAAGATAGTCAAATTTCTCACTGCAGGGATTGAAACCACGAATCTAGCACACTAACCTGGGGTTTCCAGATCTATACAAGGCCCAGCTGCAAGCATAGAGAAAAACAGAGCAACTAGGTAAGGATCAAGGAAAGCCCACCAGTTATTGTCCAATTTGACTGAAGAGACTGGAGTTAGGAAAATAAGTTTTTTATTTATTTTTTAAATCTTAGCTCTACAATCGCCTGATATCTTATTCAATTCCTTTTCCAGACAGAATTGGCTTCCTAGACATTCCAGGACTTGGAAGAGTATCTCTTGGCTCTGAAAAGTATGGAGTGAATTCCAGTCATCAAGCCTGAAGACCATCTCTGCTTTCCCTCATGAGTGATGCCATCCAATAATTTTCCAATTACATTTGATCCTAAGGTTAAGTCACTTAAGTCATAGATCCCAACCTCCCTTGAGATTTGGAGATGACTTCAGAACCCTAAAAGATGAGGGAATACATTCTTCCCAATTCCTCTTTAGTCTTTGGAGGGGTGATAAGAAAATATTGGTTCTGACTCTTCTTTCAGCCTCACAAAATTGAGGAAGCTGTCCAGTGCATCTCCAGACCAGGAGAGATTTTAATCTCTTTGTGATCAGATAAAGGGGAGAGTGGGGGAAGCTTGCCACCCTGCTGAGGAGGGCCATTCAGAGCTGGTTCCTGTAATAAAGTGATTTAATAGATCTAAAGAGGCAAATTCCCTTCTTTCTCCCACAATTACTTCCTGTGGGTTATCATTCACATATGTAAATGAGACGGGGGTGGGGGGGCACCAGATAGAAAATAGCTGCCAGATAGGTTGGGTTGGGGGGTGTTATTGTAGAGAGGAAGTTAAGCATCCTACAGCAGTGCAGGCCTCCTGGCAGATGCTGAAATCCCAACGGGTCAGGGCCCCAACTCTAACTGGCAGGACCCCATATTTCTGGATCAACCTTCTCTTTCACCCCCTTCAACCACTATGGTGAGGGCCCTTCTCAAAAATTTCCCCACCTCCTCCAAACCAGTCCACCCAGCATCTCCCTGGTCCACCCCTCCCCCCCCAGAATACCATCCCTCAAGGCTCCAACCCTTAATCCCTACATCCTCCTTCCCCTCCCCCACAGCTCCTAGGGCCAACCTCTGTGCAGTAACCCCTCCCTGCCCGGCCTGGGTGTCCACCTCAAGAGCGTGAGATAAGAATTTAGAAATCTCTTCTCTCTGGGATTCAACACCAAAAGTAAAGCGGAAGGAGCCCAGGCAGTCGACTTCTTTTGGTTGTTAGGGGTTAGCTAATATCATAGGACCACTGAAACAGTTATAGAATATTCAGGAAGGGATGAGAGGAAGATGAGTCAAGGAAGGAGGAGGAGGGAGACATGAAGTCTCAGTCTCCTTGTTTCAGGCCAGGAATGTTAGGACAGCAATCAACGGCTGTCTGGGGCCATAAATGCCAGGCCGAAGAGAATAGGTCCGGAATGGGCCAGACTTCTCCCTCCACCCCATGGCCTACGACACTGAATTTCACCCCAATTGCGAGAGCCTAACTTTAACTGAGAACTTGGGTTTGCGACCTAACCCCTTCCCAAGAATTTAAGGCCTAGGACTTCTTTTAAGATCTTCTTCCCGGGGTTCACACTGGACAGCAAAGGCCCCAGCACCAAAACTGAGTCCCTGAGATGCTTCCCTGTAAAGTAACTTTCAGACCCTTAAATGAATCTTTCGGGACCTGCCAAACGGACCTGACCCCAAGACTTGAGTTTTGAGTGATCACCTGGCTAAGATCTGTTTTAAACACGCTGGTTGGGTTTGCGAGCCGGCTTCTCTCCCGCCTTTGCAGCTGCTTTCAGAGGTTAGAGAAAGGCGCGGGGCTCACAGCGCCCGCCTGGCCCAGGCATGTGCTTCCCGGGCCGGCCGCTCGCCCTCCCCCCACCGGCAAACACAATACAACCTTAGTTTCTGCCACATGGGGTCACCTCCCTGTCCTCTGCCCCCTTCGCAGGGGAAAGAGGTAACACACGTGGTGAGCAGGAGAGGTTCCTGCAAGGGGGTGAGGTGTTGCTAATCGGCGCTGCACCCCTGTGCCTACCCTGAGTGAGTTAACGGGAATCTCAGAATCGAGGTGCCCACAGCCAACACGGGTACACGCACAATGAGGGGCCAGATCCCTCAGTCCAGCAGCCAAGTTCTTCCGCCCACCCAGATATATGCGCGCCTACATACCCTCAGGCCCCTGGCAAAGTTCTAGAACGAGTCTCACCTGGTGCACAAAGACGTCCACCGGGGGGTCGAGCGCGACCCCAGCGCGGGCGGTCATGGACAGGAAGCCGAACCCCATGCGTACGTTGAACCACTTACAGATGCCGGCCCCGTGCAGCAGCTGCGGTTCCTCCACCGCCCGGGCCGCGTCCTCCGGCTCCTCTTCTGCCGCCTTGGTGCAGCCACCTGGAGATGGAGAGGGAACCTGGCGCTCAGTTAGGGGGCTACGGAATGCAAGCCCCCCGCCCTCCCGCAGATAGGGGACAGCGAGACCCCAGCGTATCTCGGGTGGACACCAGGAGGCTGCATCCACCGAGCAGAGACCTGTCCCAGCCGCCTCCCACACTCCCTCAGCCTACACCCAGAGCAGTGGTGCCCCGAAGTTTCGCTCCTCTTTGCCCGAGGACAACCGGACAGACAGGCCCCTTCGTCCCTCACTTTTCTCATAGCCTCGGTGCACACGCTGCCGGCACACCAGGGTCCCTGGCTGCAGAGAAGGTTCCCCGATAGCAGGAGGCCCCACGGACTTGGGGTTCTTCTGAGCAGCCCAGGAGGACACTTTCCCACTTCCCTTCTACGTGGCTCCAGTGCGCCCCCGCAGCCTAACGTGTCCCCGCTAAGTTCCCAACTCGAACCTGCAAACTGCTGGTTGGACACGGAGCCCATGTTCGTCGGCTGAGCCCGCGGGCCGGGCCCCTACTCGGGCGGCTGCTGGCCCCAGAGAAGTCCGGAGGCAAAGGGGTGGCTCGGAGAAGAGGCAGCTACATCTTCCCCGGCACAATAGCGGTGGGAGGGCCCACGGCTTTTCAAAGGCTCCCAAATTCTAAAAGACAATGACCCAACCCCCCGCGGGCAGCCCCCTCTCCTCCCCTCCCGCTCCTCTCCCCTCCCTTTCCCTCCGGCTCCAGCTCCGGCCCTCCCCCCACAGCTCTGGTCTCTGACACCTCTGGGGTGTCCCTTCTCAAAACCTGGAGGTTTGACACCCCCTCCTCACACACTTATCTGGTGATATAGGGACCGTCTACCCTAGAAGTGTTGGGCACCCCGGAATATTGGATCCTAGTTTATAATGACAGAGTAGGGGGTCTTCAAAGCACCGTACAGGTGGGGGGCTAAAGGGGTAGGTTTTTTTTTAAGATCACGTGACTGCTCCCACACAAACTCATACACCACCCCCACCCCCGAGCAGATAATTATACATTCCAGAGAGTTGGGGGAGGGAGGTGTGAGCCTGGCGGTCCTGGCCAATCAGAGACACAAACCACCTGTCAAGGGAGAAATGGATGAGCCCTCCCCCTCCCCCAGCTCCTGAGCGCTCCTCCCCCTCCCTTCCCCCTCAGGCCTTTGAGCTGACCCCTCTGCTTGGCGCTGACCTGCTCTCACCCCCCACCCCTTGTGCTTAGATAGACCTGGAGTTTGGGACACTAGGAAACCTGGCTGGGGGAGCTGGGAGCCACTGTGCACAGTTGATCTCCAGGCCACACTGAGGCGCTACCTCTCAAAGTCTGACTCTAATTGAATGTTTCAGCTATTCCGAGTTACTGTCTCAAATCTTTTGCTGAATCTCTTCTGTTTAGAAGAAAGTGCTCATAATGTAAAGAAAGTGCTCCTATGTAAAGAACCTTTCTTTCCAAATCTGTCTAAAATTGGTCCCAGGCCGAGCCCCCTAGAAGAGTAGGAGGTACCCCAAGAGGCTGAAAATGTGTTCCTCTCTCCTACACGTGCCTTCTCCTTCTGCCCCCACTCCCACCCCACTTATTGCTCGGAGGACTCTCGTACTCGGGACTCTCAGATTTCCAGAACCTCCAGTTTCTGAGTCACCATCCTGGAGTGCGATCACCTCCCCACAGAGGGTTGGGGGGGGGAGTTGGACAAGGGGGGGTCTCCTAATTTGAAGAGGCACGCTGCCCTTCTAGGAAATAAAGAGGGTTGGCCAGTGGGGGGTGGTTACTGCCCTGGTCCGGGATGGACAATGGCCCGGGGCTCTGTGCACGGCCCTGGCCCTGCCCCTTCACTTCCGGTGCTCAGTTCAAACTGGACAATGCCAGCTCCGGCCACTTCCCCTCCCCCACTGCTACAACCAATTTAAAGGGACAGAGTCGGCTTTCGGGACATCCGCTTGCTCTGAATCAAATCTTCACCAAGTGTGGGAAACCTGTCACACTTCTCATCCTGCACCAGCGCGCGCGCGTGTGTGTGCGCGTGTGTTCGCGCGCGCGCGCGTACACACACGTTTGTATTTGAGAGAGAAAGGTGAGGGAAAACAAGATAGGAAGGGAATGTAAAGAAATTTCCTTCCCCCGCCCCCCCTTACACAGAGTAGTCACCAAAAGATTAAATCTTGAATGTAAGGAATGGCTCTTTGGGGAATTAAAGAACAAAACCAAACAAACAAGTGGCCTTTTTTTGCTATATCTGACTTAAAAAAAAAAGTATATATATATATAATTAACAAATACTGTTACCAATGTGCAACTTTTAATTTAGAAATTTAGATCCAACAAGAATTCTCTGAGCACATCAGCCAGTCGTTTTTATTTACATAATCCTCTCCACCTAAGAATCTTCTCTTTCCCATTAGTAAAGACCTTAAGTATATTTTCACTCTGTATCTCTTGCTAAAATTCAGGAGCAGGTGACTGAGATCTAGTTGAAGAAGAGTGAGGGAAGCTAAGCACTCTGGCTTCCCTCGGTTGACTCTCCGGCGAAGCTGGGCTCCTGAGCCGGCCTTACCAGTGGCTCTGTCCACGGTGCTGAGGGCTGTGTGCTCTCTGTCCATGGTGCTGAATAAAAAGATTGCTCTCCGCGTTCTATGCTATGAGTCCATAGCTCGAAAGCAACTGACAACAATAATCTCCAGGCTCAGAGTTTCCAGTTTAAATACTGGCTTCTTGAATTTTCACCTACAATTCCTTTCCACAAAACTTGATTCTCCTCAAGCCTCTAGTGATAATGACTCGCTTGAAGTCAGTAAAGAGACTTTTTTGAACACTAAAGAAGGCATTTCCAGTAACACATGATTGTGTGAGAGCAACTTGGTATCACAAGCTCCCGTCAGAAAAATAAGAACTACTCATGAAGCCATAGAGAGTGAGACAATAAGAGGTAATATTTTATTGGTCACTAAAGACAGAAGAAAGATTATTCTTAAAGTTATTTCCATAATTAATAACACTTCATAGGCACACAAGTTTGAGATTCGGATTTCCCCTATTTTAATGTTTATTTGAATACCAGTTCTTTAAACTTTTTATGGTTTAAGGAAATCTGGTGGTACAGTGGTTAAAGCATTTGACTGTTAACGGAAAGGTCAGTAGCTCCATAAATACTACAGCCTTGGAAACCGTGTTATTGTTATTGTTAGGTGCCACCAATTATGACTCATAGTGACCCTATGAACAACAAATCTGAACCTTGTGCCATCTTCACACTTCTTGACATACTAGAGCCCACTATGGCAGTCACTGTGTTAAGCTACCTGATTGAGGGTCTTCCTGTCCTTTGCTGACCCTCCACCCTTCCATATGTTAGAACCCATATTAGGTAGTTATTCTCTGTCCTGTAGGGTCACCATGAATTGAAATAAACTTGATGGTAGATAGTACAACAACAAAGATCAGGGTCTTCAGTTTTTATATGCTTCTGTTTTACATGCTTACGTTTCCTCCTCTGCAATGAAAATATCTGGCTCTCAGATTTGAGAGTAAAGTTAGATCACATATGTAAATCTTTTAAAATAGGGCTTGATACAGAGTTAGTTCTTTTTTTTTTCTTTCTATAATTATATTTTATTAATTTTCATAAACATTTGCAGAGATTTTGGGCTTCCACTCATTCATTGTTGCACTAACAGAGTTAGTTCTTAATAATGTAATTTATTACTATTGCTGTAGCTATACACAGGGTACACCTGTGGCCTAGTGGCAAGAAGCTGTGCTGCAATCTTGAAGCCATGTGGTTTAAATTCACCAGCTGCTCTGAGGAAGAAGGATGAGTAGTTTCTTCCCATGCAGGTAACTATATGTGAAAACTTGCTGGTGAGTCGGTTATGGGTCAGTCTGACTCGATGGTATATAAAAACAACAGCAGCAGCAACAACAACAACATAGCTATACAAAGGGAGGCCAGGTAGTCTAGTAATAAGTAGCTGTGCTGTAATCCTAAAGACACATGGTTCAAATCCATCAGCTGCTCCATGGAAAAAGGATGGAGAATGTTTTTCCCATGCAATATACTGCCTCTGAAAACCCATTAGAGAGTCAGCAATGAGTTAGTTCTGACTTGACAGCACACAACAACAATTTAATGTACACATGAGAGATAGATGAGCAATCTCCTTTGGTGCAATTTATAATCTTTGAAAATTCACTGGAGGGTCAGCTACGAGTCATTTTTTTTTGCTTGATTGCACATAACAACAACAGGATAACTATACAAAGAGAATACACACTGTCATTATACCAAAAATAATTGGTCAACACTACACCATCCCAAGAAGTAGCATATGATTCAGAACCAATGGCAGTGAAGAAATTCAAGCTACACTTGAAGTCGTTGACTAAAAATAAGGATCCAGGTATTTATGAATATTGATTGAGGTATTTCAATAAACAGATGCAAACCTGGATGTGCTGAAAAAAAAATCTAGATCAAGATATGTGGAAGACAGCTACCCTGTTAATTGCCTAGAAGAGGTCTGTATTTGTTCTCATTTAAAAAAAAAAAAAAAAAGTAAGCCTTGGGAGGTCTGGTGGCCTAGTGGAAAGAAGCTGCACTGCAATCCTGAAGAAGCGCAGTTCGAATCCACCAGATGCTCCACTGGAGAAGAAGGAGCAATCTCCTCCTGTGCCTGTTGGATCTGCTTTGATGGCATACAATATTTTTTTTTTAAAACAGGTCATCCAATACAGAAGTTATCCAACAATATTATTACTTTCACATGCAAGAAAAATCTTGTTGAAGATTATCCTCAAAAAGCTGAACATAGAAATTCCATATGACTAGGAGCTCTGGTGGCCTAGTGGCAAGAAGCTGCACTGCAATCCCAGAGGAACACGGTTCGAATCCACCAGACGATCTGCCGGAGAAGGAGGCGCAA